CAGGCAGTAAGGATTAGAGTAGGAACCAAAGCACACAAACCCAGCACACAACAAGGGAGATGCTATATGTGTCCCGGGCTGGCTGGGCTAGGCTAACAGAGAACAGAGTCATAGTAACAGCGGAGGTTAAGGATAGGAGATAACAGGATAAATGGATACAAGCCAAGTCAGAGTACATAGGTCAGGATAAACATTTAAACAAGTCAAGTGTCAAATACCAAACAAGCAGAGAATATAAGAACACGCTATTGGGCTATTAAAAACCACAAAAGGGCAACTATGAGTGGGTAGAGCTTAATTCCTATAAGAAAAGGTCATTTTAGAGTTACAAATGAGTATTATTTCTTAATTATTCATTATAGTTGCAAACAGGGAAATGTTGTATTAAAAAAAAAAAATAATAATAAATAAATTATGTTAATTGTAAATAAATTACCAGGCAAGAGGCCTCTCCTCTTTATCCACAACTGGTGCTACATGGTGGAGAGTAATATATTATATGGGGCACAGCAGATGCCACCGCTCTGGATATTTACATTGTTGAAAATGCTATAAAGATTACTACACTGTAACAAGTATGTCTAAAGTTTGCAGTTATTAAACAAAATGCTTAAAGGACAATTAAAGTCAATCATCTCAATGAAGTGGTCTGGGGTGCAGTGGTTCTGTCATTTTAACCCTTCAATGTAAAACAATGCGAAACAGCAATGTTTAAATTGAACGGTTAACCCCTTAAGAACAGAGACAATTGTTCAAGTTCCGAACAAAAATAAAACATAGAATTTGAGCTATATGTGCACTTACACTTATTATACATGATTTTGTTCAGGAGTAATAGGGCTTCCATTTGATATCAAATATTTATATATGAAATATTCAAAATTAATAAAATCTAAAAAAAAGTGTTGGAAATTAAGAAATGTTATTTTTCTGCAAATCAGTTTAAAAAGGGGAATTCATAATAAATGTTAGTTTTTACTACAATAAAATACACATATCTGTATATTGTGATGTCCAAAAAGTGTCCTCATGCACAGGTTTTATGGGGTTTTGGAGTTACAGGGTCAATGTTAAGCTTGCCCATTTCAGTTTTTACACATTAAAATTTGCTAGCTTGGTTTGCTGGGCCTATGTTGCCTTTGAGATCATATGGCAGCCCAGGGATGAAAATTAGTACAGACAAACTCTAATACACACACAAGCTTACTACAGACAAGCTCACTGTCACACACACACGCTCACTACAGACAAGCTCACTGATGCACACACACACGCTACCTACAGACAAGCCCATTAACACACACATGCTCCCTACAGAAGAGCTCACTAACACACAGATTCACAACAGACAAGCTCACTGACACACAAATGCTCACTACAGACAAGCTCACTGACTTACATATGGTCACTACATACAAGCTCACTGACATACATATGGTCACTATAGACAAGCTCACGATCACACACATGCTTACTACAGATAAGCTCACTGACACACATACAAGCTCACTCACTAGCAGGCACACACACACACAAACTCACTAGCAGGCACACACACACAGAAGCTCCCTCACTAGCAGATGCACACACACATAGAAGCTCACTCACTAGCAGATGCGCACACACATAAGCTTACTCACTCACTAGCAGATGCACGCGCACACAGGCAGACATACACACACAGAGGCAGACAGCCACACACACATAGACAGACAGGCACAGACAGCCACACACACACAGACAGCCAGACAGCCACACACACAGGCAGACAGTCACACACACATAGGCAGACAGTCACTCACTTAAACACACACACACACACACAGGCAGACAGTCACACACACACACACACACAGGCAGACACTCACACACATACACACACACACACACACACACACACAGGTAGACAGTTACACACTCACACACGCCTGATTAGTGATGATTAGGGCTGTCAGCCCAACCCCAGGTGCCGCGGCCCCCCAGGAAATTTCCCGGTATGCCCGTGGGCCAGTCCGGCCCTGCTGTACAGTACAGTGATAAGACAGCAGGGAAGGGGTTAAAAATGTAAAACTGCTATAGCTGCCAAAAACGGTCAGAAAAGAAAAATCTTTGACCATAAACTAAAATATCAATAGTATCAAAGGACTAATCACCCTATTCAGACTGATCACATGGTTAATACTGTGATCAGCACTGAAACGGTTGAAAAAATTTTTTGTTTATGGTTCACAGTAACTTTGCCTCTCTCCCCTCAGGTTAAAGAGAGGAAAGAGAGGGGCAGAAAACAATGTCGCAGTCAATGTTAGAATACATTGAGAAATTTCAACAGTGATGCAATGACTTAAACTTACGGACATTGGGTGCAGAGGGACTGTCTAGGTTTTTAGGCAGATCTCCCGTTTACATTTGGAGTGCAGGAAAAGTATTCAGGCTGGAGGTAGGGCCAGATCGATATGGCATGCTATGCTGCCCTAACTATGTTAAAGCCCTTTGTTTGTAGGACTGCATAGCACACCCTTACATCGGGAATCGATTAGATACACATTTAGTGGCTGTTTTACTGACAGCCACTAGAGGAGCTTCCTCCTCTTGTGCTGAATCAAACTCAGTCCTGCAGTCAAATGCTGGTGACTCAGTGGCATCTCGGCACTGGAAATGAGGTAAGTAATCTTTATTACTAGTAAGCGGCGGTCACAGTGACAACAGGAAACCTATAGTCCCCAAAAAATGATTATTTTCAAAATTATTTTATAGGTTCCCTTTAGCACACTACGTTATTTTTTTTATATTTATTATACATGTTATTATACATTTTTAAAAGTTTTTGGAAGACATAAAGTACAAGCATACAGACAGACAGACAGTGCTAACAAGGTTAAATGAATGTCCCTGTGCTAACACAATGTCACATTGTAGATCCTTCCACTTAGCTCATGTAAGTTTCTGAACCCACTGCTGTAATGAGCCGTGGTATTTCTACTGCCTTCAGGCTTTTCACTGGTAAGTTTATCTGCTGAAAACATTCCAAATAGATTTTGTGCAAGGAAAGCAAATTTACATTCACTTTGGCAAACATTAGCATTCTTTATCTGATCATTTAAATGCAGAAAGGTAAGGAGAAACAGTTAGAGAACACTCATTGTGAAATCTCAGAGCTGCTTGGATGCAATGAGGGAGAAAAAGTGAGACAGAGTCATTTTTTTCAGATCTCTGGCTGTTCTGCAGCCCACTTGAACTTTGTGACAGGTCTCTGTCACTCAGCTATACTTCACTAACTCCCACTGACATTCAGCTGTCAGCAGGCAAACCCTTTACCATGCCCCTAACATGCTCTACAGCTTCACCCAATTAACTCGCTTTCACTTGACACTGAAGTAGAAGAAAAAGCTTCATAATAGGTAGTAAAGGTGCATGGTGTCTGCTTGCCCTCCTAATTGCTCGCCTGCAGCAAAATTCCTAACCCTGTGTGACAGTGAGACCTGGAGCACTTTGGTTCGCTTGAAACATACAGTTACTGTTTAATTTCGAGCTCATTGCATGACTTTTTTTTACAGTTTATGTCACGCGGAAAGAGACGTTTGGCATAGCAAATGGGTAATTTGGGCAGTGGAGAATTGAACAAGATGTGGAGATAAAGGAAGGGCTGGTTTTGGTATTGCAAACACATATCCAAATAGAAATCATTTGACACTTTAAATGCCAGTATGAGACAGATATAATATTAAATGTAATTATGTAATTATACCGAAACAAAAAATTCTGAATCTCAAACTCAATTATATTGAATACATTGACTAAGTTATAGAGGATATTATTGGTGTAGTTTCCTTTTTTAATTTTGGAAGACACTGACTTGGCCAGCTTAAAAAAACAAGCACACATATATCTGCTGCAGGTTAGTTCATGCAAGATTATGGATCTCGGTCAGTGTACTATTATAGGACCTGCAAATATTGAACCTTTAGGATTTACAGATGCAGTGTACACAATGAAAGTGCAAGCATTCTATTGTCCTGATTTCCTCAACTTGTGCTGGCCACTGTTTAAAAGATGGAGCTATAGCCTGTCTACAGAGGGCAGGTACTGCAGGTAAAATATGTCTAGAAAGGAATCTCTGTTTTGAGATGGGAGATTTGTGTGGTAAAGTAACATGTCTGCTGGGTTAAATACAACCCTTACATCAGCAACCAAAACTAAGGTATCATGTTTTTTTTTTTTCCAAAATAGCTTAAGTAGTGGACTTCACATGTGGAGCATGGTACCAATCACCAGGGCCGGGTTACGAGCCTATCGGGTCCGGTGCTGACAAGTATGATGGGACTTATTACGGAAACGTATAGACAGAAAACACTAAAACAGTATCATGTATCTAGTGTAGATGTTGCTGGAGGGAAACTCACAGGATATAGCTATTAAAAAATGCATACCCTATGCTAATCTCTCGCTTTCATCTTTCAAGTAAATCCATACTGCAGAGGGCCATCTTTAGTACTGATTGGACCCTGGCAGGTCTTTGATTGGTGTCCCTTGACCTAGCCCTTCCCATTTCTTGCATGCAATCACGCCATCAACGCCCACACAAAAATAAAAATAAAACACACACTTAGCCCTCTCATTTCTTACTGAGACAAAATACACACACTAACACACATACAGATGCAAACACTGACATACATAGAGATGCACACATACACAGGAACATACATATATAGAGATATACACAGACACACAAGTGCATACACAGACACACATGCAGATACACACTGACACACCTACATACACTGATGCACAGATACACTCATTGACAAACATGCAGATAAACAGAAACACTAACACACAAATAAACACACTGACATACATGCAGATACACACAATAACATAAAGATACATACATGGACCCACATGCAGATACACAGACACACAGATATACAGACACTGACACATACACAGATACACAGACACACATGCAGCTACACATACTCACAGAATGATACACATTCAAATACACAAAAAAACACAACGAAACGGATGCTACAATGTCTCTACTTAAAGCAAAGTATGAGACCTTCTGCATCCCCTGGATATAAATGTAGCAATGAAGGAGTACAAGAAAAAAATGAATGTATACAGTGTATAAATACACCCCAACAAAGTGTGAGGTCCTAAAGACCTACACTGAACTAGTATCACTATCTCTCAAAGAATGAGAATAGGGGGAGAAACAATCTCGCTGCTAAAATCTGGTGGAGGATACTGGAAAAATGAAAATAAAAAAACTTTATTAGAATCAGCTAAAAAATATATCCGTCCCAGAAGTGACTCCTGCAGTATTCATCCAAGCAGAAACCCCCTATATAGACACATAAACCTTGTCCAGCCAGCTACCTAAAGTCTTAGGGAATAGAAAGGATATCCTATATACACAGATAATCCATAAATCCCAATGACCAAAAGTACGGCGTAAAAGGGAAAGGATTGCAAACAGGTAGATCAGTTCAAAATGAACTGATAGTAAAGGTTAATGAAAAAGCCTCTCTCCCTGTAAATCTAGCTAGACAGATAAGGTGGTAGAGAGATAGAGAAAAAATATAGAGAGTAAATTCAAATCATCATAAGGCTACAGAGTACATGGAACAGAGATTGTCCGAAAGCCATAATTTGAAAAAACAAAAAATCAATAATAAATAGAAACGCCCGACGCGCGTTTCAGGTGCTAAGTGTATGCACCTTCGTCAGGGGCCAACCTAGTGGTATTCAGATCTCACTTAAATATGTTGGGCGCCAAAGCAAACTGCCTACCCTTAGCCAATCATGTCCAAGAAACGCGCCGGCTCCAGGTGAAACTGCTGAAAGGAGTCACGTGGTCGCATGCAGGCGGATCCATGTACGTCAGTGACCCACGTGATCATAACCACGGGGGAACTGATTGGTGCCACGTTCGCCCTGGAGCTGGAGTGATTCGTATCAATGAGAGTCAGTTCAGCAAACAGACTCATGTGGGCGGAGTTGAACGGCTAGTGACTAGCGAACTAGTACACCCATCCGGACTCCTATCACTCTAGGGCAGCCTGTGTGGGGTACTCAGATAGAAGCCCTGAAACATATAGTATATAAACCCTAAGGACTATGTTATATTAGTCTCAAAGTGGTGCCCCAAAGGGCTAATATGTAGGGTATATATACACGATTGAAAAAGGGGGGATTCCAAGGGTAAACAAGAATGTATCCAAACTGACCAGATGTGATATACACCCTGTATTAAAAGATAAATGTATATAATCACCTAATGAATTGGGTAGTATCAAAAAGAGGTCAGTGCAGAAATATTAATACATAAATTAAATGACTTGGTCATGTTTTGGAATAGGTGGGTAGTAGTAAACAGAAGAAAATCCAAAATACTTGTAGATAATAATAATATCCGAACATGCCAAATAAACACATATATACAAAAAAATAAAACATATCCTACAGATGCTAGATAGTAATGTTCGTTGTGGCAAGTGTATATACATATTTACATATTTACAAATGAGTGGTGATGCTTGATCAAGCCCAGAGTGAGGATTACATATAAAATTAGTCCGATATAAAGGACGTATATGAGAAACCCTCATTGAGACCGAGGGGTGAAAGTGTTTTGAGTTTATAGATCCAGAAGCTCTCTCTTTGTAAGAGCTTTTTATCTAGATCACCGCCCCTTGGTCCCAGGTTAACCTTTTCAATACCACAAAATCTAATCCCATCAGGGGATCCACTGTGGTGTAATTTGAGGTGTTTCGAAACGGGTGTCTCAGTCAGTCTTCTCGGATTTACCGAGTTCACATGCTCTCTTATTCTTATTTTGAACATGCGAGATGTTTTCCCCACGTATAGTTTTTTACAGGAACAGGTAAGTAAATAGATTAGACCTTTCGATTGACAGTTGAAAAAAGTTTTTACATCAAATTCCTGTGAAGAGGAAGAGTTGGAAAAAGTTTTTGAAGGGCGACGTATAAAGTTGACACTCACACATGTACAAACACAGAATGACACTCACACATGTACAAACACAGACACATATGCAGATACACATACGCACATACAGATACTCACGGACACACATGCAGATACGAAGACATGCAGACACACATGCAAACATACACACAGATACACATACAAGCATATACATATATAGACATACACATATAGAAACAGACATAGAGACACATATATACAAAGACACACATACAGACACAGAAACACATACTGATACACAGGGTCACATAGAGACACATGCAGATACAGAAACATACACACACAAACAGAAAAATACAACTCTGTTCCGCAGAGTAGCTGTTGACATTATAGTTGCGCGGGCACTTTGTTGACTCTAGAGAACCTCGGACCAATCGCACATCCCCGTGACGGCGACTTTGCATTCAGATGTCATCCATATCAACTTTCGATGCCAGTTTCTGCATCTACCATGGTGACCATGGGTAATGGGGAATCAGGGTTCCATTCCGTACAGGGACCCTGATAAACAGCTACCACATGCAAGGAAAGCAGCAGGTGCGCAAATGACCCACTCCCGACGGGCGAAGGTAGTGATGACAAATAACAATACAGGACTCTTTAGAGGCCCTGTAATTGTAATGAGTTCACTTGAAATCCTTTAACTCTGATCAATTGGAGGGAAGTCTGGTGTAGAGCCACTGACCCATGCGTGCTGCAGCTGAAACTCCACTATCGCCTGCTGCTGCTCGCACAGTCTCATGAGGCGGTGAGCGGGAAGGCCGAAGTTACACTGCAGCGTAGACAGGCGAGCAGCAGCAAGGTGAGAATGCCAAAAGCACGCACAGCTGCTACAGTGAATGTCACATCCTGTTCCAAGTTGCGGATCAGTCTGGTAATGGCTTCTGGTATCCAGTACTCTTTTTACTGAAGCTGCATCAGGGTCCTGGTATGTGGCCGCACAAACGCTGGTGCTCAACACCAGGGGGCGTGCGGTTACCCTGCACCAGACCCTGCTAATCCATTCCATACTGTGACTCCTAACTTCAACATCAGGCATACTGGGTCACGGTCGTCCGACCGCCGCCCAGACAGTGTCTGGGTCCTGGTCACCAGACTGCCCACCTAACTGTGAAACTACGAATGGATCGTTAAATCTGGTACGAACTCGAACTTTGCAGTTCGGGTTCACTCAACTCTATTATGGATCCTTTGATTGCTACATGTATTACTTGGATAACTGGTAATTCTCGAGCTAAAACATGCCGACGAGCGCTAGGGGACGGCCGCTCCGCTTTTGCACCCTGCTCCCTCTTATGCGGTGCTGGTGTCTCTGTGCAACCAGCGCCCCTTCCTCCAAACTACACACGTCACTCGCATGACCTTGATTCCATGAGAGGTCTAGGACCTCATCATCCTCCACCTCATCTTCCACCCACTCCTTAACCCTGCCCTCCTTGCCGGTATGCACACTGCAGAAAGCCACAGCAGTTGGCACCTGTGTTTTTCCAGCATATAAAGTCTGCAAAGTACATATGGAAATTGGGCAAAGAGCCTTTACATACAGAAACAGCTGGAGATTTTAGTTTATATCTTAAAATAGATCTTTTCTTACAATGTTTTTGCACATACCATATATATAAAAATCAAGTATAAATACATAAGAGTCCAATTACAATTGCAACATCTTTATAATATGAGGAGGGTAATTGTAATAAATTTCATTTATATTGAGGAGCGTTACTTCTTGTAAAGATATAGCATACAGTATAATTCTCTATATTAAAAGGGAAAAATAAAGAGAAGGGATCCTGCAAAAAATAATAATAATAACACAATGTAAATAATTTCATTTAATTAACTAAAACCTCTAAAAATATATAAAAAATATGTAAAAATATAATAATATATATGAAAAGTATCAAAATGAAAAAAATTAGAAAATTGATTGTATTTTATATAAAACATTTAAAAAAAATATTTTTATATATATCTACAAGCCATGTGGCTAATTGAAATTAAAATTAAATTAATGCTGACATTTCAAAGTCAACATTAAGGCCCCCAGGGGACAAGGTATCCAAATTAAATATCCATTTCATTTCGCAACGGCTCAAGGCCGATTGTAGGTCTCCCCCTCTCCAGTGGGCTTCCATTGCTTGTATCCCAAAAAACTGGAGTCCAAAGGGATCCCCTCCATGGCATTTTAGAAAATGTAGAGATACATGATGATTCAGAAAACCCCTCCTAATATTATAAATATGCTCACGTATCCTTGTTTTTAGGCATCTCGATGTTTTTCCCACATATTGTAGCCCACAAGGACACGTGAGCATATAAACCACATTCTTTGAGTGACAGGAAATAAATGAATCTATCTTGTATATCTGATTACCTGCTCTCGATTTAAAACTGACTACCTTTTTAACTTGTTTATGGTTCCTACAGCCCATACAATCTCCGCAATGAAAAAATCCTTTTTTGGTATCTTTGTATAGTTCTAGAAAATTACTCTTTGGTATATCTATATAGCTTTTAGTGAGTATATTTTTCATACTTTTAGCTCCCCTAAATATAACTTTAGGTTTATCTTCTAAGAAAGGCAGAATTTCATGATCTTGTTGGAGAATATGCCAATTTTTATTAAGGATTCGTTTTAATTGTCTTTGGTCTTTACTATAATTAAAAATAAGTGGTATCTTTTCTCCTTCTTTCTCTGTCTTCTCCGTTTCTTGTTTATATGTTAACAGGGTACTTCTATCTAGATTTTTTATCTTATCTATTTCTTTATTCAAATGTTCTAACTCATATCCTCGATCTAAAAATTGATGTTTAAGAATATCGGCCTGGTCGTTAAAAGATTCCAAGTCCGAACAGTTTCTCTTGAGTCTTAAAAACTGTCCCCTTGGGACGTTCTCCAACCAAGGCCGATGATGGCAACTATTTGTATATATGTAACTGTTCACATCCACTTTTTTGAAAAAGGTTTTCGTCTTAATTTGGTGATTTTCTATATAGATCTCTAAATCCAAAAAGTTAATTCTCTTATTACTGATTTCTTGGGTCAGTTGGATATTCCATTGATTATCATTTAAAAAACTTAAAAAAGCTAAAACCTGTGTCTCCTCTCCTTTCCAGATAAAAAAGATATCGTCAATATATCTTTTGTAGAGGACCAGATTCGCACACCAGTCATGCATAGAATAAACAAACTTCTTCTCCCAATAGGCCATAAAGAGGTTTGCGTAACTGGGTGCGAACCTGGTCCCCATGGCCGTCCCTTTGCATTGTAGATAGTATTCTCCCTCAAACCAAAAAAAGTTGTTCTGTAAGATTTTAAAAAAGATACTACCATAGTTATAAAACCGGCAGACAAAGGCGGAGGAATAGCAATTATGGATAGAGATAATTATACTAAAGAAATATATCGTCAACTTAGTGATACAACTACCTATAGAAAACTTGGAAAAAATCCCCAAAATGATATGAAGAAGGAATATGAAAACTATCTTAATCAAGGATTAAATAAGGGCATTCTTTCTCAAAAAGAATATGCCTTTTTGAATGTTAGTCAACCACGAATACCGGTTATCTATACTCTACCCAAGTTGCATAAAAATATACAAGACCCCCCAGGAAGACCTATTGTCTCCGGGATAGGATCCTTGTTGTCCAACTTATCAAAATATGTAGATACTCACCTTCAGCCTATTGTCAAAACTAATACCTCATATCTTAAAGACTCAATGAGTTTATTACAAATTTTAAATAATTTTAAGTGGGAAGATGATTTTATTCTAGTGACCTGTGATGTCACTAGTTTATATACTAGTATTGATCACCTCCTGGGCTGTGAAGCCACTCGTTATTTTTTGGAGATATCTGCACTTTATCCCTCGGACCAGGTTGATTTTATTATGGAGGGAATTTTGTTTATTTTACAGAACAACTTTTTTTGGTTTGAGGGAGAATACTATCTACAATGCAAAGGGACGGCCATGGGGACCAGGTTCGCACCCAGTTACGCAAACCTCTTTATGGCCTATTGGGAGAAGAGGTTTGTTTATTCTATGCATGACTGGTGTGCGAATCTGGTCCTCTACAAAAGATATATTGACAATATCTTTTTTATCTGGAAAGGAGAGGAGACACAGGTTTTAGCTTTTTTAAGTTTTTTAAATGATAATCAATGGAATATCCAACTGACCCAAGAAATCAGTAATAAGAGAATTAACTTTTTGGATTTAGAGATCTATATAGAAAATCACCAAATTAAGACGAAAACCTTTTTCAAAAAAGTGGATGTGAACAGTTACATACATACAAATAGTTGCCATCATCGGCCTTGGTTGGAGAACGTCCCAAGGGGACAGTTTTTAAGACTCAAGAGAAACTGTTCGGACTTGGAATCTTTTAACGACCAGGCCGATATTCTTAAACATCAATTTTTAGATCGAGGATATGAGTTAGAACATTTGAATAAAGAAATAGATAAGATAAAAAATCTAGATAGAAGTACCCTGTTAACATATAAACAAGAAACGGAGAAGACAGAGAAAGAAGGGGAAAAGATACCACTTATTTTTAATTATAGTAAAGACCAAAGACAATTAAAACGAATCCTTAATAAAAATTGACATATTCTCCAACAAGATCATGAAATTCTGCCTTTTTTAGAAGATAAACCTAAAGTTATATTTAGGGGAGCTAAAAGTATGAAAAATATACTCACTAAAAGCTATATAGATATACCAAAGAGTAATTTTCTAGAACTATATAAAGATACCAAAAAAGGATTTTTTCATTGCGGAGATTGTATGGGCTGTAGGAACCATAAACAAGTTAAAAAGGTAGTCAGTTTTAAATCGAGAGCAGGTAATCAGATATACAAGATAGATTCATTTATTTCCTGTCACTCAAAGAATGTGGTTTATATGCTCACGTGTCCTTGTGGGCTACAATATGTGGGAAAAACATCGAGATGCCTAAAAACAAGGATACGTGAGCATATTTATAATATTAGGAGGGGTTTTCTGAATCATCATGTATCTCTACATTTTCTAAAATGCCATGGAGGGGATCCCTCTGGACTCCAGTTTTTTGGGATACAAGCAATGGAAGCCCACTGGAGAGGGGGAGACCTACAATCGGCCTTGAGCCGTTGCGAAATGAAATGGATATTTAATTTGGATACCTTGTCCCCTGGGGGCCTTAATGTTGACTTTGAAATGTCAGCATTAATTTAATTTTAATTTCAATTAGCCACATGGCTTGTAGATATATATAAAAATATTTTTTTTAAAAATGTTTTATATAAAATACAATCAATTTTCTAATTTTAGATTTTCATTTTGATACTTTTCATATATATTATTATATTTTTACATATTTTTTATATATTAAATGAAATTATTTATATTGTGTTATTATTATTTTTTGCAGGATCCCTTCTCTCTATTTTTCCCTTTTAATATAGAGAATTATACTGTATGCTATATCTTTACAAGAAGTAACGCTCCTCAATATAAATGAAATTTATTACAATTACCCTCCTCATATTATAAAGATGTTGCAATTGTAATTGGACTCTTATGTATCTATACTTGATTTTTATATATATGGTATGTGCAAAAATATTGTAAGAAAAGATCTATTTTAAGATATAAACTAAAATCTCCAGTTGTTTCTGTATGTAAAGGCTCTTTGCCCACTTCAAATATGGCGCTGGACGCCA